GGCACCGCGGCTGACGCAAAAAGTGGACCAGAACTCCTCAAATGATGCCGTAGGCAAGCCCTTGGTCATGATATCGACAAATTGTTGGGAAGTAGGGACGTGCAAAACGCGAATATGGCCAAGGGCCACCTGTTCCCGAATATGAATATCCAACTCAATATGTTTGGTCCGTTGATGATGCACCTGGTTAGCGGAGAGGTAGACCGCCGAGACGTTGTCGCAGTAGACCACCGTGGCATGGTCAACATGGCAAGAGAGCTCCTAAAGCAGCTGGCGAAGCCACGAACACTCGGCGACGGCGTTGGCCACCGCACGATACTCAGCCTCAACACTGGAACGAGAGACCGTATGCTGACGCTTGGACGACCACGAGATGAGTGAGGGTCCAAGATAGACACAATAGCCTGAAGTGGAGCGACGAGTGTCAGGGCAGCCCGCCCAGTCTGCATCGGAGTAGGCGGTGAGGGCGATGTTGGCGGAAGCGTGAAGCATGACGCCAAGATCCATAGTGCCGCAGATATAGCGGAGAATCCGCTTGACGGCAGCCCAGTGAACGTCTCGAGGAGCATGCATATGAAGACACACCTGCTGCACGGCATACTAGATCTCCGGTCGAGTCAGAGTGAGGTACTGGAGAGCACCAACGATAGACCGATAGAAAGCAGCATCTGAAGCAGGAGAACCGTCCGTGGCAGAAAGCCTGGCCTTCGTATCAACAGGCGTAGCGACGGGCTTGCAGTTAAGCATGCCGGCGCGCTCAAGGAGTTCGTGAGCGTACTTCCGCTGATGAAGGAAGAAGCCATCCGGACGGCGCACCACCTCGACACCAAGGAAGTAGTGCAAAGGACCCAAGTCCTTGATGGCAAACTCAGCGCGAAGACGAGCCGTGAGCTGACTGAGGAGACCAGTCGTACATGCCGCCAGGATGATGTCGTCGACATAGAGCGGCAAGTAGGCCGTGTCAGAGACCTGATGATAGATGAAGAGTGAGGCATCCGAGCGGGTAGAGCGGAACCCAAGCTGGTGGAGAAACGCCGTGATGCGCTGGTACCAAGTGCGCGGAGCCTGCTTGAGTCCGTACAAGGACCGCGAAAGCAGACACATGTAGTCGGGAAGTGTCGGGTCAACAAACCCGGTGGGCTGCTGGCAGAAGACCTGCTCCTCGAGATGGCCATGGAGGAAAGTGTTGGAGACGTCCATCTGGTGCACCGGCCAAGCACGGGAGGCCGCAAAGTGGAGAACCATGCGTATCGTGCCGGGCTTGACGACCAGAGCGAAGGTGTCGGTGAAGTCGATGCCAGCATGCTGTCGGAAGCCACGAACAACCCAACGCGCTTTGTAGCGATCAAGGGTACCATCAGGACGGAGCTTGTGTTTAAAGACCCACTTCCCGGTAATCATGTTGGCGTGTCGGGGACGGGGAACAACCTACCATGTTCGGTTGCGCAACAGGGCGTCAAACTCCTCTTGCATCACAGCCATCCAGAGCGGGTCACGAAGAGCGGCTCGAACGGAGGACAACAACGGCGACGACTCAGTGGTGGACGCCGCATGGACGTAGTCATCCGAGGCGTAGCGCGAGCTCGAGCGAAAAATGACAGTATGGGCGCGGGTGACCGGACCGGCCACAGGTGCCGGGGGGCCGGGGGCGCCAAGAGGGCCCCGGGGGCCGCGGTCGTCGAGGGGGACAACGTCGGGGGCATCGGGGGGGCATCAGGGGCGCCACGGGAGCCGCGGGGGCCGTGGGCGCCAACGTCGGGGGCGCCAGTGC